TCGGTGCTCAGACATTGCCAGCTACGCCGGGGCTCCTCAGTGCTCGGACGTCGCCAGCTACGCCGGGGACTCCTCGGTGCTCCGATGTCGCCAGCTACGCCGGGAACTCCTCGGTGCTCGGACGTCGCTAGCTATGTCGGGGACTCCTCGATGCTCGGACATCGCCAGCTACACCAGGAACTCCTTAGTGCTCGGACATCGCCAGCTACGCTGGGGACTCCTTGGTGCTCGGGTGTCGCCAGCTAAGCTGAGGACTTCCTTGGTGGTTGGATCTTGCTACGTCTCATCGGTGTGCTATCAAGCTGCTCCATGCTGTTCGGATCAGGGTGCTGATCTTGGGCAGCACGTCTGGGGTCTTGGTACGCTCATGTCAGACGACATCGGCAAGCTTTCAGACTTCTTTGACCCTACTACAAGATTCATTCTTCATCTTTCAGTAGGCTCGGGGACTAAGTGGGCACACTTCATCTTGCGGTGAATATGCACTTTTCAATTCAGGGCTCCGCCCGTGGACTGGTTGCCTGCTCGGCTGGTCTTCTACCTTTCTTCTACTTTCTGACCCTGGCATCACATGACTACGTCACCTACTGTCAGGCTCGGGGACTAGTTGTGGGGGTATGGCCCCTGGTATCCACAAGACAAGACATGGGCCGCACCATCAGAGATGGCCCAGCCCACAAGATCAAGGCGTGTACGGCGCTGCTCGGCGTGCACCGCAAGCTATTGTATGGTACCAAATAGGATACTTTCCTTGTAACCCTACCCCTCCAGAGTATATAAGGAGAGGCAGGGGTCCCCTAGTCGCTAGATACATATAGCTACATACATCTCATATTCAATACAATACACCAAAGACACAGGACGTAGGGTATTACGTCGATCAGACGGCCTGAACCTGTCTAAATTGCTGTCTCTATGCCTTATGTCACCATCCAGTTCCTGATTACGCGCACCTCCACCAACAAATCTACCATCGCGGGATACCCCTCGGTGGACTGCCGAGCATCTTTTGTCGACAATACAATAGCAATGTGTCGCCTCTAGTCACAAGTGATTTTGGGGTGGAGTAGTTAGGGGAGGCATGCGCCCGCATGTTGCAAAAAAACCGTGTCTTGTGACTTGAGAAGTGTGAGATCAAACATATTTGGTAAGGGCTTCTTCGGATTTTAAAAAATGCTATATTTTTTGGTCCACTTTGTGATTTCAGAAAAAGATTTCTAGGGGCAGATAGATTTCGAGCTGCCTCTACAAATCCATTTCTAGGGGCAGCTGGACATCCACTCCTTTACAACTACAAAAAGTTAATTTGTAGAGGCGAATAGATAGAGGCAGCTGGTCCAGCCGCTTGTATAAATCCAGCATATAGCAGTGGTTACATCTGCCTATCCAATGTAATTTTAGCATTAACTTGGTGAATTTCTTAAATTTTATTTTTTTCTATTTTTTCTGGAAAGTTCTTTCAGCGGAATTGGTTAGGCTTGCATTAGATTTATTTTCTTAAGCTGCATTTGGTCAGAGAGGGATAGAACGGCATGGTTTTGTCGTTTCACGGGTGGGATGGTTCTACCTAGTGCTTGGTTTAAAGGCCGGAGTGGTTATATTTTCATGTTTGTTTGGAGGGATGAGATGAATCAGACAAGACAAGTTAACCCCATTAGCCATGGGCCCACATGTCATACAAACATGCACTTCTTCTTGTTCTCTTAGATCTTGTTCGCAAGTGCTAGTCCATGGCTCCTCGGCGCCCCCGCTCGCCTCGGCCGACCAGCACGTAGTCCTTTCCTCGCCCACCGCTCTACCCACCCTAGTCGTGTAGCCCCACTCACTAGCTAGCTTCGCCTTCCCCAGCTGTGGCAGCACCGTTCCTGGTCGTGGCAACTTCCCTAGCGACGCCTAATCCGCCCACTCTGACCGGGCAGCATGCAGTCCTCCTCACCCACCCCAGTTATATGTAGCCCCACTCACCAGCTTTGCCTTCAGCTGTGGCAGCCCCATCCCTAGCAGGGGTAGCTTCCCTAGCAGCGTCTAATCCGCCCGCCCCGCAGCCATGTCTGCGGCGCTGGATCCACTCACCCCAGCCATGCCAGCTCTGCCTACCCCCTGACCGCCAACTCTCTGCCCAACTGGTGCGAAGGAGACAAACGTTATTAGAGCCTTTTGAGTGGAGCCAACTCGTTCGACTGATTTTTTAGAGCGAGTTGGTGCAACACAGTGGCGAATCTAGGATTTTGTCTAAGGGTATGCCATCCAAAAAATTTCATATACTAGCCGGTAAATCTATTTCAGCAATTCGGTAATAATTATAAAATTGACAACATGATTCGGTATATATGCACTAAATAACACAATAAGTCTTAAATTCATGGATTAAGTTCAAACCATCCACTAAGTATAGTATAAATAGTTCAAATGCCATACCGATAATTGAAATAAGGCATAAAAGAGAACCGGAGACTTACAATGCTATTCTTATGACTATTTTATTCGACGCTTTCAAAGGGACATAAATGTCTTGATTATATCATCTTCATCAACTTCAAAGAAAATATCCCGCTCAATGAAAGTGACTAGACAATCATCCAAAAGACTATCTCTCATCTTATTTCTTAACTTTGTTTTCACAAAAACCATTGCAGAAAATAGCCTTTCAACACTTGTCGTTGCCACAGGTAGAAGCAATACCAATTTGAGGAGCTCATAAACCATATCATACACTTTGTACCTCTTTGTTTCAACAAGTTTAACTGATAGACATTTGAAGCTATCATCCTGTCTCATATCATCAATATAATTATGTAGTTGTAATTCAAGTTTGAGCAAATTATTATTTGAGAACCCCTTTGGATAAAACTCAGCTAGTCTATGTAGCTTCTGTGCATCAAAAGAAGCAAATGACTTGGAAGGACTGAAGGCCGACATACAAGACAACAACTCCATATTAATCTCGTCAAACCGGTTATCAAGTTCTTGACTTGTTTGATCAATGATACCAATATATACTTCTCTTCTAAAGTGGTACGGTCATCATTGGTTTGCTTTCGGGCACGAGCTTTCCTTGCTGATTTTTCGTAAGGAACATAATCACCATCCATAGCAGAAACTTCAACACCATGTTTATCGCAAAATAAAGTGACCTTCTCAAGAAAATTATTCCAACCATTAGACCTCAATTATTGCATTCTTTTCTTTGCAACATTAAAAAGTGATATTGCATTAAGAATATCTTGGTCCCTTCTTTGCAAACACTCAGATAACTCATTTGTATATCAAGAATAATATACATTAAGTGTGCAAAGAAAACAAATTCAAAGTTCTTAAATCCTCCGGTCACAAAATATATTTTAGTCCAATCATCCTTATATGCAGGATCATCCCCAAGATCAACCAGTACATCATGGATTGCTTCATACATAGTAATGATGCTGCATACAGTTTTGTAATGAAATCCCCATCGAGTATCTCCAAGCCTAGGCAAACCCATTTCTTGATGTAATCCAGTTCTAGATTAAATAAATTGCGCTTGCTCGATTGAACTCTCACATGCGATTATGGATCACTCACATGATACGAGTACTAAACAAAAGATCAATCTAGATCGACTCTGATGTTGGGACAAATCCTTGACCTCGTTGCGTGGTGGATGATTTTATGATTTTAGCGCTAAGCAATTAGCAATTAAAGTACATATGAATTTTTACAAAAAGCCAAAGAACAAGGATTGAATCTCACCTGAACGGCTGAACAATTCCGATCACAAATGTCGGTGCGGTCATAGGGCAGGGTGAAGGATGAAGTGCCGAACGGTGAACGGGACGAGGTCATGAGGATGACTGGACAACGACGGCCGCGGGCGACAGCCAACGGCAGCGGACGACGTGAGTGATCCAAGCGCGCAGCCACACAGGACGCGTGAATCGTGATGAAGATGATTAGACGAACCGTCGAGCGTAGAAGACTCGAAGTATACGGCGGCGCTACCTCGATCTGTATTGGGCTATTGGCGTCTTCGTCGTCGCTGGCCACATGAGACGCGTGCCCGCATGGGCCTCACGCTCGCTCGTGTCCTGCCTCTCGCTCGCGCTTGGCGCTCACACGCTCGGCCTCGGCTCTCATGTACACATAGATGAGTGTTTTTTCTTTTTTTATATAACTACGTATATATACATGCTTACTTGCCGGAATCACACCCGGCATAATCGTCTCAGAAGAATATTCCCAGTTAGGAATGGCTTGGTTACTGTGTTCCACGAACCGATCACCATAGAAACTATGATGAAATATATGGCTCCATGCATTTCACCTCATTCCACCCACCAAACACATTGTATCTGTTAATTGTGTGGGCAGGCGTTGGATTAAAATCAAACGCTGCTAGAATTCGCGTGCAACGTGCTAAGTGTGGCGCTCATGAAAATCGATTGTTTTGATTTGACCGCCGATCTAACAACCGATTGTTAGGCCCTTGTAAACACATGAATATAGTATAGACACAGGCTCCAAACAACCGAGTTAGCAGTATGCCCAATCTCTCTAAGCGGCACCGGCTCAAACAACAGACCTTTGATGGCTTGATGCCGCAACGAATGATCGATGACTGGCATCATTGTCGTTTAAATTTGCCTCGCCCAACAAACGTCGAGATTCCGAAAACTCGAAAATCTTATTAAACAGGAAAAAGACCAAACTATCGAAGAACTGAACAGAAGAGCGTGGACGTGACCGGCCACCGGATTGGCAGCTGCCTATGTAGATCGCTCCAACGTCTTTCCCGCTCGCTGGACGCGTCTACACAGCGACCCGCCAACCTTCTTCGTTCATCGCCTTTTTCAATTCCCGGCCATACATACTACACTGCAGTGGAGTACTATATAAGCACAGCACAGCTCCCTGCCTTCGATCCATCCCCTCTCATTCCACCACGAGCGAGCGCGGTCTCTCTCACTCTAGCCTCCAACATCTCTCCTACATCCCCCCTACTGTCTGGGTGGTCGTCGGCAATAATGGCAAGAAGCCGGCCAGGCATTCTGCTCGCCCTGGCCTTCGCCATGGCCGCCGTGGCGGCACTGGCACCGGCGCCGGTGGCCGCGACCAAGTACAACATCACCAAGATTCTGGCACCGTACAAGGAGTACTCCAAGTTCAACGAGATGCTGTCCAAGACGCGGCTGGCGTACGACATCAACCGGCGGCAGACCATCACCGTGCTGGCCGTCGACAACTCCGCCATGTCGGCGCTCGACCACTACTCGCTGCAGACGATCCGGCACATCCTGTCGCTGCACGTCCTCGTCGACTACTACGGCGACAAGAAGCTCAAGAAGCTCGCCCATGGCTCCACCGCCTCCTCGTCCATGTTCCAGGTATGAACTCCTATTCCTATGGCAGCACACAGCCTGCACAGTTAGAGCACTAATTAGCATAAAGTAGGCCTGTGTGCATGGGTTAATTAATCCACCCATCCAAAACTTGATCGAACTCTAGGTAGTTTGACTAGGAACAAAACTAGGATTGCATCCTTTTCAAAACATATCCCTAATTTCATTCATGAGACGAGACCAAATAATCACCCTGTTCTGCAGCACTACGAACAGTGTTTTTCTCTCACAATAAATCAACATAAACAGCAGCATAAGCCAAATTTCAGTGAAACGAATAGGGTAAATAGTATTAGCAATAATTAATATATACTCGGTTTGCAATTATAAGATGTTCTGACTTTTCTAGATATATCGTTATGCACTTAAATATCACTATGTCTGCTAGATACATATATAGTAAAACAATGCATTTAAAAAAGTCAAAATGGCTTATAATTTAAAATTGAGAGGGTACAGTACTATATGTTGTTGGCATTTTGACTTTTTCTTATGATGTAATGAGATTTCCATCACAAGAAAAAAAATGCTCGTATTTGGCTTCTCATGTATCTTAGATTTCGTGTCCCCAGCAGTGAATTCCTTGATTTCAATAGCTAGCTAACTTAGCTTTATATGTGCTATCCGTAAGACTAACAACTTTTCCCTACTGCTTTTTTTTTAAGTGACCAATAGTTGTATTTGCCTAAATATCTACAATTACCATGGATTAGTTTGTGGGGAATAATATTAATTATATTGTTGACATAATTTGTTAGAGTTGTTGAGAAAGATACATACAGACTATATATACTGGAGAAATTATTGTTGGTCTCTCTGAAAAATACCAAAGTGAGCCCTAAAACTATGAACCACCTGCAAATAACCATAAACAGCCATTTAGTTTTCTAAATTAAAGGAGGGTATGTACAGCTTGCACTGTCCAGTACTCTGGTCAGATGATTGAACAAGTTGTGTTCCCGGACGATTGTTTGTGTAAAGGTTTTGATCATAGCTAGTTAGTTGAGAACGAAATGAGATTGATTGAAACCTCCAATTTTTCAAACTCAAATGGGAGCTCCTTTATGATAAAGCTAGCCATGACATGATTGCTGTGGAAGCTCTATCATGTAGTGAGAAAATCCGCATGCAGTTAGGTGCCATGTCATTTTTTTTATGTAAAGTTGCCATGTCATTGATTAAGAGCACAACGTACGCCAAGTCAGACACGGTTCACCGACAGGGATGGTTGGTAGGCTTGGCTTGGAATTTCATGCACCCAGTTGTTGTTAACTTCAGCAAACTTATTTCCTATTCTCTATATATACAATATATAGTGCATTTAGTGCGTGATTAATTTTCCCGAACCACCTCATAATTCTGATGCAATCACACGTGAAAAGTTTTTCTTTGAGAACAAATAAAACTGTTTCTCTTTTGCTGACACTGACTGTACATGTGGATGGTTCAGGCTACCGGGTCGGCGTCAGGCATGTCGGGGTACGTGAACATCACCCGAAAAGACGGCAAGGTGAGCTTCATGACGGAGGACGCCGACGACACCGCGAAGCCGTCCCGGTACGTCAAGTCCGTGAAGGAGTACCCCTACGACATCGCGGTGCTCCAGGTGAGCTCCATCATCTCGTCCGCCGAGGCCGAGGCTCCCGTCCCGCCCCCGGCGCCCGTGGACCTGGTGGAGCTCCTCTCCAAGAGGTACTGCAAGTCCTTCGCGTCCCTGCTCTCCGCCAACGCCGAGGTGTTCCGCGCCGTGAACGAGACCAAGGACAACGGCCTGACGCTCTTCTGCCCCGTGGACTCGGCCGTCGCGGCGTTCGCGGCCACGTACAAGAACCTGACGGCCAAGGCCAAGACGGCCATCCTCCTGTTCCACGGTGTGCCGGACTACTTCTCGCTGCAGCTGCTCAAGTCCAACAACGGCATGGTCACCACGCTCGCCACCGCCAGCGAGAAGAAGATGGACTACAGCTACGACGTGAAGAACAAAGGCGAGACGGTCACGCTGCAGACCAGGGTCGTCACGTCCAGCGTCACCGCCACCGTCGGCGACATGGAGCCGCTGGCCGTCTACGCCGTGGACAAGTTCCTGCAGCCCAAGGAGCTGTTCAAGGTCGTCGAGGCGCCCGCGCCCGCGCCGGAGCCGTCGTCCAAGAAGAAGAAGGCCGGTCACGGCGGGGGTGACGACGATTCCTCCGACGATTCGACGGCCGATGCGGAAAAGGGCGACGCAGCACCGGCTCTGCTCGCGCGATGGGTAGTCACCGCGGCCGCGACGGCGGTAGCTGCATATGCGTCGATGGGCTAAACATCTATCAGTCACCTGAATTATATCCGGTCTTTGATTTGATTTTATTATTATTCTTTTTTCTTTCTTTCAGTGTTAAATTTGTTTTAATTATTAATGGTGCTCAATCGATCGGTTAAGGTAAACTATAAGAGTTTATAAGTGCTTTGCTCTACTCCCTGTCGTACCTATAGGAAAAATATATAGTCGAGCAGTTTATAGCGTGATTTATAGTGTTTTTAGTTTTGGATTTTGGTCACTTGGTTTGTTATCAATGTAATTATATAATTTGTAATTTGTGGTTCCTCAACGCGTAAGAAATCACTCCCCGGCCGCACATGCCACGTGCGACGTGTCCCAGGCCAATCATCAGGCTGCACTTCAATCATGGATAAATAGGGCATGTTCGGCAGGACTGAAAAATACTGTTCTGCCTGATTGTTGTGAGAGAAAAATACTGTTCTGACATGACGTAAACAGTGATTTCGTGAGGTGGCTGGCCAGCTAGCCGAACACTGCCATAGATGATAGTTCATTGCTTCCAACTCAAGACCTGCTGCAGTGCTGCTTGTAACTTGTAACCTATGACTCCGAGCGATGCTCCAACCGTGTCCAAATTATGAACCTTCATTTTGACACAAGTGGCTGACAAAGTTGCAGACCCTATTCCAACTTTTCACACGGCAGGCTATCACTCATGCTGTCCAACAAATCTGCCTGCATATGCAAGGCCCACGTGTCTCTCATTTTGGCCTCATCAAGCGTGTACTAAGGTACTACCTCTGTCCCTAAAAGAATGCAACTATATGTTGCGTGTCGGTTAAAGTGTTTTATATTTAACTAAGTTTCTAGTAAATAGTAGTAACATTTATGGCTCCAAATTAATTTATTAAGAAAATACATTTCATAATTAATCTAATGGTGTTTATTTGATATTATAAATATTTATATTTTTTCATCTATAATTGGTCAAACTTGATACACTAAAATATGATACTATTTTAGAATTATATTCTTTTGAGAATGATGGGAGTACATCAAAGGCACTACAAGTCTCCGTCTCCACCTCGCTCACAATTCTTCCCACGCTTTCATGGCTTACACAGATGCTGATTGGATCAGGTGCCCTGACACCCGTTGGTCCAACACCTGGATATTGCATCTTCCTAAACAAACTCATTTCTTGGTCTTGTAAACGGCAAGCAATTGTTTCTTGTTTAGCGCCGAAGTTGAATATCATGGCATGGCCAACGCCGTTGTTGTTGAGGCTTGTTGGATCCGCCTCCCCTTGAATCTGGTCTATTGTGATAACATTAGCGTTGGTTATCTCTCTGCTAATCCAGTGCAACATCAACGCACCAAGATTATAGGCATTGATCACCTGGAGGTTCTTAGGTCTGGATGCGGTGTGCTCAACAACCGAACGACCGTCGGCCGCCGGTGATGTCATTCACTCATTCCCCATGGTCAACGCCACTGACCTTAGGGTCCCACCGCCGTCCATATCGCGGAGGTGCTAGGCATAATATCAGGAGGAAGAGCACCAATATTTTGTTAATGCTATTTGTCCATGGATAGTTTGATGAGCCTTGGATTGAATTGGATTAGTTCTCGTTGAAGTTAGATTAAACTGGACATTAACTACACATATTTGAATTTCTCTTGTTTTCTTCTTAATTGGATTCGGATCCATTGCTAGGTCTACATTGTAGCTTTTGATGCTTAAGAGCATCTCCAGCAGACTGCCTAAACAGACTACATATCCTCAATTTGGGTAGTGGGGGCAAGAAAACCAACTCCAGCAGAATACCTATTTGACCCAATAAATTTGTTGGCTACTCAGATCTCCCTTCCCACTACCCATTCCTGTTGGGCTAGAGAGACCACCCAAAAATCTGCTCAGTCGTTTTCTCCCCCCCCCCTCGTGTGCCCACACGCAACTTCCTTCATCGCCGCTCCAACCTAGGTCGTCGTCGTTCCTTCTCCTAGCTTCGTCGGCGTGTCAAGGATGGTCACGACAGGATCCGGCCATCCCTAGCCACGAGCACACCCCACCAGCCCTCCTCGACGGCGCGGCAGGCATCCACGGCGCCTCCCCGACACGGCTCCCCACCGACACCTTCCCACGCGTGGCTCCCCAGCACGGCGGCCTGTCCCTGACGCCGGTGGCTTGCCCCGACGCGTCCTGGCCAGCGCAGTGGCCTGCCCCGCATCCCCAACGCGGTGGACTGCCCCGCATCCCCATCACGGCGGCCGTCCCCAACGACGGCGGCCTGCCCCAGCGCGGGCGCGGCTGCTCGGTGCGGTAGCCTGCCCTGACGTGGCCTGGGCGGCTCGGTGGCCTGCCCCGCATCCTCAGCGCGGTGGCCGTCTCCGGCACGTCTGCTCCGTCTGACTATGGGAAGAACACTGAGAGAATGACATGTGAGACCTGCCTATCATTCTCTACTAGGATGGATTTAGGTAGGCTGTTTTAGGTAGTACTGCTGGAGTTGGAAGCTAAATATGAGTAGGATGAAAATGGGTGGCTACCTAAATAGACATTTAGGTAGTCTGATTTGGGTAGTATTGTTGGAGATGCTCTAAATATAAGCTCTCTAAGAAATAATGTACAAAACTACCATTTAAGTTAAAGGCTCTTACATAGATGTTTACTTATTCTTTCATCTTAAGCATACTTTTAAGTGTTGGTGGGTTGTAGTTCCTTCGGTCTGAATTACAAGATGTTTTGGCTTTTTTCAGATGCTTAGATTTTGCTATGCACTTAGATATATAATATGTGTAGTTATATATTAATGTATCTACAAAAGTCAAAACATGTTAGAATTTGAAATGGAGGGAGTGCATTACTCCCTATGTCCCTAAATATCTGTCGTTTTTGCTTCCCGATAAACAACTTTGACTAATATATATTAAAAATATTAATATTTATGGTACATAATCAGTATCATTGGAAAGATCTTTGAATCTAGTTTTTTAATAAATATATTTGAAGATACAAATGTTACACATATTTTTTATAAATCGAGTTAAACTTATGCCATGCACACTAACAGCGACAGTTATTTAGAGACGAAAGGAGTACGTTACGTACCCTAACGAGTAGCTGAAGCTCTTATGATGACGCGGACTCGATGGATCGGTCATCCATGCGAGAGGTAGAAGTAGGTAGGGAAAAAAACATACCCTCTTGACGGAAGTAGCAGAGAATAGAAGATATATTTCAACTAATAATAAAAGTGTACTATCACTACAAGGATTCACCTCTAATGCCACGCCACACGTTTACAACACCAGTAATTTGGTTGCCATAGGGGTCGTATTACAACCTTTCCGTAAAATGGTTACAATATATGCCTATAATGCAATGGACTAAATGTGTTGCAATATGTGTGGTTTGTCGTAGCAACAGGCATGTGCTACTGCAACCATTTTAAAATTGTGTTGCAATTAGTTGGCATTATTGCCATAGCGCTTTAGAGTTGCATTAATATTGATTTTTGTTATAATTATTTGGTGTTATTGCAACTATATTGGATTTAGTTGCTTTTGCTTGTAATTATTGCCATGGTTGTTCTGCGTTGCAATAATCTTCTGTAGTGTTGCAATTGCTAGGTGATTATTGCAACAAAAATTCTGAATGCATGCAATAGCATGTTCCTATTGCCACGGTTGCAATAATCTTTTGTGGCGTTGTAATTTTTAGGTACTTATTACAACTACAATCCTAAATGGACGCAATATCATGTTACTATTGCCACGTTTTTTGTGTTGCTATAGACTAATGTATTTGGTGAGCCTTTCTTTGTCTAGGACCCAGCAGCGTACCTAAGCATCATGTTGGTTAGAGATGTGCATGGCTCTCTCCATCAATCGATCTCTCTCTAACATAACACGCACGCCACACCCTAGACGACGTGGACGAAGCGACACAGCGCAGCGGCTCTTCCCATTGATCTGGTCGCTCACATGTGCAGCTAGTGCCAGCGCCACGCTCATCATGTTACTATTGCCATGGTTTTTTTTGTGTTGCTATAGACTAGTGTGTTCGTTGCAAGAAGTTGTGACCAAAATATTTAATACTATGCAATGCTATGTACATCATAAAGTCGTACTAAAACGTTTATAAATAAAACTAGTAATAATACAACACCGAAGGCCAACTTCAGAGAAACAAAAAAAAACAAAGAAGCACCGATAGATAGGCATATATGTCCATACCAACCACCCCACTTTTACTCTTATTTTTTTCTTCAGACTAAAAAACATTGTTGTCATTCAATTATGCAGCTACAAAAGGACAAAATAGCGCTTCATTTTCCAGTCTTAGTTAATATGTAACCCATTAATTAAAGGATTTTATGATTAGACATGAAAGTTTCTATCGTTCAAATTATCCAATCTTTTATATAACCTAAATTTCATTTTGGAAATAAATTTAAATTTTATAAGCAAATTTCAATGAACAAGCAAGACTTGTCCTTGCAATACAATGTTTTTTGCATGGTATAAGCATTTTCAATGAACAAGAGGCATCAAAAGCCAAAAATCACTACATTAACATGTCCAATCATGCATCTCAAACATGCGAACCATCACTCCAGGCATGGGATGCTGAAGCGGTGGTTGCCTCAGCAGTATCAATATGGCTATAACGTCTTCTAAAACCTGCAAGATGTACTAATGGGCTTAAAATAACCAAATATGGATAATAACAAGCGAAATAATCTCTTCTGAACATGATTGTTTTTAGAAGAATCTTAAAAAATAGGCTTTCTTGTGGGAGTATAACAGATCCACCAATTCATTATAAAGATCATACCACATAAACATTAATAATTTAGAAGTTATTATGCAAACTATTTCGATTAAGACTGATGCCAATCATGAACTTTGAATACTAACCGAATAGTGATTGAAGCTCACACCCTTTGGCCTATGTCAGGAGATGAACAAACATCTCTTATATCTTCCAAAATCAAGGAGCGAGCCATAAAAATCTCAATTATTTGCAACCACACAACCATATTTGTTAAGAAGGCTGAGCTCACAGATATCAAAACATTCTAGACAAACCATGAACATTTTTGCTATTACACATGCATAATTAGAAAAGAAACAGAGTGGTTGTTACTAGAATAGAGCACTAATGGTGGTTGTTACCAGAATAAAAAGTGGTTGTAAGCACACATCAGTGAACTACTAACTTCATTGGTGAACTCACTATTATCATCAATACACAAACAAAGAAGGTTCACTGAATTCCACACAAAAAATTAATGGTACCCTCAGGATCTAAATCAAATATACATGGATCCATAGAAGGCCAAGCAACAAATTCAGGTTTCATCTTATATAGGAGGGAGAACACAAGATAGCTGATGCTGCATCTATACAGGAAGGATTGTGATTCACCCCTTCAGCAGAAGAGAGTTTCTGACTATTGCATATATATTCATCCACACAATTGCAAGGAAGTAAACTTAATAACCATAATGAGGATGGACGAGCAATATGCGCAATAGGAGAGACCAAACCTATCTAAGCTGAGCATGTAAAGTTAATAATAAAATATCAAAGCTACCTAAGCAGGGCATGTAAAGTTAAAAATAAAATCATGTTTTACTTACAAATGTAACTTAACTGGAAACATCAATTTCTTAAAGAGGACATAGTAGATTTACCTTCTCTACATCCACCTTCAGCAAGACAAGTATCACCGCTTTCAACTGCCTTTGATAATGCTTTATCTTGTTCATCGATGCTTAGCAACAGATGAATCTGTGAAGGTGAAATAAATTACAAGAACCAATAATAAATGGTCGATGGTATCCACTCCCTAGCCACACAGAGTGCAGCGATCATGGTCCAGGAGACCGTGGCGTCAACGCCTTGACGCAATCCAGCAGCGAGCAATAATCGACAATCAAATGAAAAATTTGGCATGCGGGGGCCACAGTTTTCCAGAGTACGCGTGTACAAGGCACTGTAGTGGTATCAACAGTGACTCAATCAAGCAAGACAGACTCAAATGCCTCATTAGCACTCATTATTTGTTTATAAAGCTCAGCTCCATCTAGTTCTTTTATTTCAGCTCAAGCTTCTTCAAACTTCTCGTATTCAATCAAAGCATACCCCTGTACAGAGAAAGTGGTAAAACTAAAAAAACCAATGCTTGAGAAAATGTGGGGGAAAAAGACCGTATTATTTAAACAACATTTGCCCCTTGACCAGATGCCAAAATATTTGTTTATTCCAGCTATTACCTGTAGGTTATGGAAGTCAATAATATTTAAGTCGAAATCAGTTTTATTCCAAGGAAGCTAACCAATTGATGCTAAATTAAAAAAAAAATCAGATATCCCATCCGTACTACAAAACTAACAATGAGAGATGATTTGCATCTACATGTTGAGCGGAAAAGTAAAAGGTCCAAATTCAAATGCAGGTTTTTCACCTCCCAAATTTTCTTAAGCTTCTTTCTGAGCTCCAGTGACCAACACAATCCATCCATCAATTACTGCAAGGGACCAAAATATATATACATGAACTCAAAGTGGAACTAATTATCATCATAGAGAAGAAACTTCTTATACAAAAGTAATATACATATATGAACTCAAAGTGGAACAAATTATCATCATAGAGAAGAAACTTCTTCTACAAAAGTAAAAAAGAACTTCGTAAATACAATTATTCAGACATCATTAAGTTATTGTTCTTTGAAAAATAATGTGAACAATTTGCTTCATTTTACTTAAAGTAACGGCACTTTTTAATGTATACCCTTAGCCCATCACTAACAACTAACAAGCTGATTAACATTGATATCTTGAGTTGACAAGCTTCAGCCCAAATCAAGAACCAACAACCTCTACGGTGTTAAAAAGAATTGATAGTCAAAAGACAGAAAGATAAACAGACAAACAAAATCTATCACCATTTTAGCTAGCACATATGCTGTGAATCTGTGATATGAGTGCCATCTAGAGCCCCTGTACATCCCTATGATAGAAATATAAAAAAAAGAACCAAAATGTTACTTTTTAGCATAATTAATTCCACTGAACATACAATTCATGTTTGACACCTAAAATTAAATCAAGAAAGAGTAAATTAGATATAATGACGGAATCACCACGTTAGTAACATAAGCTGCGACTACCTACTGCAGACCTGTAGACCTGTAGACCTCCGTGCAGTCAGCACCGTTCTGCACTCCAGCTGACAGGTGACGGTGGCTGCCCGCTGCCCCCAGCTGCAGACTGCAGCCGGCAGCCACGCCATTGCGCTGGCGCACCGCATCAGCCACATGCGGCCCCGCGCCAAAGCCAGCCGACTGCCGCCGCGGCCCGCGGCGCCGCCCAAACTAATGGCCAAAGCACCTCGCGCATGCGCAGTCGCGCGCTCGCCGACGGCCGCTGCGCCGCAGCCGCATGTCGCCTCGCCCGCCGGCCGCCGCCGCCGCCTCCGCCTCGAACAGGAGCCGGTCGTGCGCCAGGGTTTGGGTAACGGTTGGGCGTTGGGGAATTGGGAAAAAGGCAGAGTACGCGAACAGCCGAATAGGAGAGAGGGCGGTAGAGCGGACAGAACTCAGAAGGAAGGTCGGGTAGGCTGTGGTCGCGCGCTCGCGCTACGCCTCTCCAACGCGGCCAAGCCAAAATCGGGCGGCAGATTTGCGCGCCCACTATTTGGCCTAAAATTGGGGTCGGCTTGTATTGGCGGGGCCAAATAATGCTGAGCACCGTCAAACTGGCTTTTTGTGAACCAAATAATGCAGGCCAAAATACCAAGGCAGGGATAAAATTTGACCTCGCAAAGGGGCCTCTATCCCAATACGCCTTTTATCTCGTAAATTTCATAATATAAACCATATAGAACATAAAAATTTATTATAATTGGTGAAACAACTCCTCGAATGTGTATATTGTTTCGTACTTTTTATTATTTATTTATAATAATAATCTTATTTTAAAATTCTAATTCTAGACAAATTAATTTTTTGGCACTCGAGTATCTTTTTTAATTGATTTGCCTTTTTCTATAATTTAAATGAATTTAAAGGAACAAACCCAGCGACTAGAGAGGGTGAATAAGAGCCTCAAAATGCCATCCTCATCACCCATGTATAGATGTGTGTCCAGCCTCCGCCAAGTGTTATGATGCTATCGTCCTCCTCCTTGACTTGGTCGACGCCTTCTTCATCGTCCATGTACTCTTGCTCTTCTAGTGCCTAATGTGAACTGCACACGGTCCGTTCTCCACCCTATGGCCTCTTAGTCCTCTTCCATTGCCCAATGTGAGCTACACACTGTCTGTTCTCCACCCTATGGCCTCTTAGTCCAAGCCCTATCGTCCGCCCTGCACCGCACCAGGTCCATCACGTATGGACTATGCACTTGACCTTCACCATTGTCGTCGGCCATCTTGGAGCACATAACTAAAAAACTCGTCAACACGTAACTAAAAAACTCGTCCTACAGGAGAATGACTACCCCCACAGCATTACCAATAAGAAGAAGACCATCTCACCGGACCAAGAAAACCAAGAACCCCCTCCCCACCCTTACATGGTGGAATCCATTGCGCAAGTGAGAATTGGGTGGGGCCTTAGATCTGTGCTTTTGGTTTATGTAGTGGACGAGGGGATTTTTTTTAACCTTAGCTTAAAATTCGCTCCCACGGGGAGTCCAACCTAGGACCCGAGGAGTGCTACTTGAACATCCTAACCACTCGGCTAGAGACCCTTTTGCATCTTAGAACACATAACACTTGTACATTCACAAGCCAAGAGACACATGTTGCACAACACACAACGCATCTCAACACGATACCTCTGGTTAGCCATTAGCATAACCAAGCACATATGGATATTGTGACACACCAGACGACAGCAACAAGCTTGAGATATCGCTAACATATTATTTCTCATAGCTGGACTTGAAAAAACAATTCAGCAACATTTGTTTAAGCGAACACAGAAGCAACAACAAAAATATCAAATGATATGTAACATAGCACACTAACATGAATGATCTTAACAATGGCCAAGAGTGCTAAAGATTGAAACAACAAATAGATACATGGAAACCTAAATTGAGACAACGAGTTGCTTATTTCATAAGTCAAGTCTCACTCGTCTTCTAAGAGGTGATTAGTAGCCAGCTTTATGTTTTTTACCTGACAGTTTAATAAAATCTTAATTTGCTATGTTTTATCACCAAAATAATTTAAATTTATTTTTTGGCACTAAAGTAACTTTTTTTAGAATTTAAATGTGTCTCTGTCGACTGATTGAATTACTTTACATTTTAAAGCATATATGTGCGTTTGAAAAATTGTGTGAGTTTGAAATTGCCCGGTCACAATTTTAGCCCACGCGCGCTAGAGCCCAAACCGAGTAGTAATAACCCTGCTGGCCGCGGCACCGCAACCCTAACTCAAAAAACATTCACCTTTCACGGTCTCACCCCAGCCACCGCCTCTCTTTTCTGCAGTTCTCCATTCTCCGCTCTCTCCCGGCGGCGCGTGTTGCAGGGCTAGGGAACGGAGGTCTGCCGGCGTCCTCGCATGCCAGCACCCGCGGCTGCGCCCTCGTGCTGCAGCTGCAGGCCCACGTGACAACATCACCGTCTTCGGATTTGGCGGTCAGACGGCGGCGGTGCGCTGCAGGCGAGGTAGCGCAGGTACACCGCGCGTCGTGGGCCACCTGCCAGCCCCCACGGCCGCGCCGCACGCTGATCTGGCGCGCCGGCTGAGGAGGGGGCGGGCTAAGGGTGCGGCGGCACGGGGCGAGGAGACAGCGGTGCGGCATCTTGGGCGAGGAGCGAGGAGGCAGTGGTGGCGAATCTCGCGCACAGGGAGAGGCAGCAGCAACGGCTCTCGCGCGCAGGTCAAGGACGTTGTGGCAGTGGATCTCGCGCCCCTCGGTTCACCGGATTTCGTTCGTCGGTTCGTCTGCTTTCCCTCTCTATTCCACACCGGATTTTGTTGGTTGGTTTCTCTGCTTCCCATCTGTTCCACGTTGATTGATTAGAAAATGCTGGGAGGATATACTTTTGTTCTACTGTATTCTATTAGCAATCTGTTCAGATATTTAGCAGGGATGTAGAGGAGTTCTTTTTAGACAACAGCCATACTTTGATGCCTCGAATGCTGCCATGATTTGTCTTTTAGTCTACACTTGAGCTCCTAAGTCCTAATTATTAAGTCAGTCGTGACTTGCAGTTCAACAATTTCATTACTGATGCATCCTTTGTTTATTAGAAAATATAATGAACCTAGGAATTTGATGAAGTTAATACAGATTTCAAAAGCAATAAGGTGGGATGCATCCTCTATTGCTCTTTAGTTGCTAACCTCCGAGCCTTATGATTGTTCTATTCTAAAGAGCAGTACTGACGTACTGTGTATCAGGTGCCATGCTCTGGCTGCAAGTAAACCAGGACCCTTAATTTGTGTTGTTAGAGACTGAAACTTCTTCTAGGTTTCTCACAGTATTCATAGAAAATTCCACGTACTAAATTACAGCAGTGTGCTAATTTTTTTATGGGATCTTGACATGTTGTGTTAATATCGGGATTGGTTAGGGCATTGCAAGTAAACCAGGACCCTTAATTTGTGTTAATTTTTTTATGGGATCTTGACCCATGGCTGCTACTTTTGCCTGGAGGATGGAGCTGTCATGGAGCCGATTTGTTATCAAAGCAAGTTCAAGGTATTTATATGATGCACTGATTTTTCTTGCAAACATATACATCTGTCTTTATCAGAGACTACTAGTTCAGCCATCAACTTTATGCAGAACTAAAATGAAGCAATAAAAAGTTCTAATATGACATGTACTAAAAGGCTGATTGTAGTCTCTTTAACCATTTTTCAATGGTCTAGTATGGTATGTTGCTTCTGCTGCTATCACTTTTGTGGGAGTTTAATTTCAATATGCAATATGAATTTTTAGCATTTGTCTTTCACTTTGAATGTTCAAAACTAATCTATTATTTTAGCAGGAGAGTTATTAACTCTTTAGGTGTTGCCCCAGTGGTGAATGGAAGCGAGCTTCAAATTTGAAATCAAGTATGATTGCACCTGTCTCATGATTTCTGCTCCTATACACTTCCTGACATTTTAAAATGTGCTACCAATGTGTTTCCATTGAGAACCTGTGATCCCTTAAAATTTAAAAGCAAGTACAAATTGATGCAGTAGTAGCAGTTTAAATGAAGCAACCCATGAGTTTTATGAATTTTCAGTTACAATGTCCTTGTGTGCAAGATATTTTGCTGAAGCTATTTTGCTGCAGTACACATAAGTGTTCCTGCTTGCTCGGATTAGTTAACATCATGTTGCTCATGAACTGAAAACTTGAGAACCTATATAAGCTTTTGCTAACCAATCATGATCCTCCTAGTTTGTTATAATGTTAGAGTCTAATTTGTCCAATGTTTTAGTGGGACCATTGGAGGAGATGCCACTAATACTATGAGCCTCTGGGATTTTAAAGAACCTATAGAAAATAGTTCAGATCAAAGTAAGGTAAATACAACTACTTGTTAATTACAGAATTTTCATTGGAAGACCTCGATTATTTAAGTTGTTTGCTGAAATCAAGTGCCATCATGAGCTGCATTTTAAACATGCAGCTGCCCGTGAACTGGAGACTACATGGATTAATGTAGTTATTTGTCATAGGAATGTGCTCTCATGTTGTGTTTGTAGACAACAATCTTATGTTGCTTAGTTGGATCGTGATCTATCAGTGAACATTCGTGGCAGGCAACTAAATTAGCTCCAGTATGTTAGCATGTGCTTGGACGAAGTTGTACGGTTGTCCATAGTTGAAAATTTTCGTGTGCCATCATAGCAGTATTAACATTCAACACTACAATTTAGCCAGTTGAGCAACTCTACCATAACTAGATGTTGCTTTTGTTTCTTGATGCTTTAATAACAAGAACCCATTCAGCCAGTGCTATTTTTTATACCTTTTACTACAAGCATACATATAACATATATATGTACCTAAAAGTGACACATATATATATATATATCTAGTAAATTAGTATTTCTGCTAGTTGCTGCCATTGTAGCATACAACATAGCAATCTTGAGTAATAGCAGTAAACTAGCTGCTGGTAGAAATCTCTAGTTTTTCAACTTTTTTTTGTTTCAAGTTGATACAACTGTACAACAAAAGTTTAGTTTGCCAGCTTTAAGTTGATGCACCTGTGCATCTCTTCTGATGAGAGAGGAAAACATAACCCAAAACAAAGAAGTGAATACGACAA